TATTATAATTAGTGTAATTTTTATAATAATGTGTTTTTCCGACTTTTAAAAAAAATTAATACATATTTGTTTTATTCAACATATAAAGATGTTCAAAATGCGGTCCTGGTTTCTTGTTAAATGTATTCTGCTTTCTGATTGGTTGCCTCGTTTTGACAGCTCCAAATATATAAATGGCGAACAATTCTCGTTACCTAACGTGCTTCGAAGTATCAGGAGAACAGAAACGTCAGAATGTATATATGAAAGTATAATATTATTCGCGCACAATGTATGGTCTGACTATTACGAATTCATATAACCTCAATGTAAGTACAAATTGATTATCATTATGATTATTATATTTCAAATGGAATATCATGTGGCTATTATATATTATATTTTTTATATCAATTCCTATTTTTATGATTATTATTAAAACTTATTTCTATGTTAATTATTAAAATTAAACTTATAATTAAATCGTCACATCGATGTAGTTATCTAGTAAAATTTATCACTATCTAGTGTTTCTTGTAATAAATCTATATTCTTTTAATAAATCTTTTCACAGGTGCTTATAACTTGTAAGGAAACAAGAAAGAAAAAATTAAATGAAATATATTATTGATGAATTATGTAAAGGCATACCATTTGTTTTATTTAACTGTCTTCTCAGAAATATACATTAAACAGAAAAACAGAGATGATGATTGAGTAAGTTTTGCAACATTTTATATACTATTATATATAATAGTTTTAGAAAATTTAATTTTATTCATATGAAAACTTAAATATCGAACTACAATTCCAATGAATTTGCCAATTCATGTGATAATAGTATAGAGTAAAATGATAAATCAACGTAGTAATGCCAGTATATTAAACTTCAGTTGTAGTTACATAAAACGCCAAATATTTTTTAATGAATTGAGTCAAAAAAATGATGAGAAATGCTTATAGTTTATTTAAGAAACACAATTTTGTTCAAAAGTACATTTTGCTCACAATAATCTAAGAAAATACCACATAAACCTATTAGAATTTCATGTGAATGTAATTGAATCAAATAATATGAATGATTTCACTGTAAGTCATTCTATAGATAAATTCTTTATTGAATCAGATTTATACTTACAGTTCTTTTTATAATGAAAAATGAATTCTTTGTCCTATCAAAACTACTTTGAAGCAAAAGAATTACTGAGTTTTAATTGATTGTCAATGAATTGATAATTATTGATGTGCTTCGAATAATATACATACTATAGTATATAGTAATAGTTTCTACTATTACAATGCTTTCAGAATGAATTGAGTTTAAAAATAATAAGAACTTTATATAGTGCATATAATATGTATGTTTCACATACAAGTATTTAATTAATAACAATAATTTCACTGAATTTCTATTTTATAGTGTTATGGATTTTTTCAATGTTACAAGTTATACATACTTTGGAAAATAATAATTGTTCGGGATGGTACAGGATGGTAACAGTTGGTGTTTGGCAGTCGATGCGAATGCATCTGGATCAAGAATATTGTTAACGTATTTGTTGAAGTTGTATAAATCCAATTTCGCATTAATTTTAGTGCCAGTTTATAGAAAAATGAGAATAATGGATACGTATATTGAATATAAAACAAAACATAATGTAAGTCTATAGATTCTTTTTTCGTGAAATGAATTTTTATATTATGGATAATTCTTTAGGAAAATTACTGTTCCAAAGGAGCACTAATGCAGTACAGGATTTTAGTTGTTAAAGAAGGAATAACATATATTTATTGAAAACATTATTGATGTGTTTGATCACCTGAAGGAAATCTTGAATGAACATAATTCTGAGTTTCAAAAATGATTTTAACATAAATCGGTTAAATTAAGAGATGAACCTATCCTAAGTTTTAAACATGTTCTATTGAAAGAGAATGAAATGATCTGATTATCAAAAGTATCCGGTAAGTACAAATTGATTATTCATGTAGTTATTATATTATATTTCTAATATCTCAGTTTAATCATTTAGTAAAAATTAACACTATTTAGTGTAGCAAATGATTACATACTATTATTTAAAATGCTTTTTCTTGAGATAAATCTATATTCTCTAGGTGCTCATGACTTGTAAGAAAACCAGAAACATGAAAAAATATAATCGAAATGTATTATTATGTAGAATTATGTAGATACATGCCATTATGTTCTATTTACCTGCCTTCTCAGAAATATACAATAAACAGAAAAACAGAGATGATGAATAGAAGATCACAGCTTTGTTAAGTTTTGCAACATTTTATGTTGTCCCGTGCTTAAGATTGTGAAGTAATTATTGTTTGTTTAGTACTGTTTTAGTAAGATTTATTTCATTGACATTTGATATCAAACTTAATTATCCAACCGCAATTTCAATGAATTTACTTTGTCCCATAAAAGTTTGGTTCGTAAAAGCATTACTGTGTATTAATGAATTGACAATTCATTGCCCTTCATATTGATGAACTTTGAATAATATTTGTTTTTGCCATTAGAATACTTTTAGAATGAATTGAGTTCTGAAATAATTAGAATTTTATTTAGTATTTATATTATGTTTCACAAAGATTTATATACTTATCAACAATAATTTTACACTAATTTTTATTTTATAGTGTTGTGGACTCTTTTGCTGCTGCAAATATAGATCTCTTGGAAAGACACTGTTTCCGAAGGTAACAGATTTATCACTGTACTTCAATGATAATGAGACAAGTTTTGATACATGTAGAAGAAATAATTTAGACCGCCTCTGATATAAACACCTTTATGAGGGTTAACAATATTGTTAATTTAACCAGCAAGCCTGAATTCCAGGTAACTAATGTTTAAAAATATAAATATTAGTAATACATAATTATGCCACCATAACAAAGTCGTGGTGGAATGTGATATTTTTTATATGAAAATATATATCTTGAAAAGATGAAAGATCAGATTGTAAACAATTTTAAATCAATGTTATATACCTACAAATACAATAAATAAATCACAAAACTAGGCATACATGTAACTTTACAAAAAGCAATGTAAAATATTTTCATATTATTACAACCCAATTATTTCTATTATAGGAGATTTAAAAAATTTAGAAAATCCAGATTTTTTCTGTCTGCAATAGACTATCCTGAGTATTTTGAGTACAGAACCTCACAGTGGACCACCTCAACTGGAAGTAACCTTCGGAGTACGAATAAGGAAGATGAAATATCTGAGCATGAATATTTTAGTCATGTAAAAAGCGAATTGCCTGTGGACCGTATATATATATATATATATATATATATATATATATATATATATATATATATGTAACTCATGTTGTTCAATACAATACAAGTGGTTTGAGATTTGAATGGATAATAATAATATAATAAGAGTGCTATGTTCTGGCAATTAAAATTGTACATACAACTTAGAATATATATGTGTTTAATAAGCTTGATTTTTGAGAGTTAAAAAAACAAATGTGCATGCATTTACAAATTTTTATTTATCTCCATTACTACTTTTTTTCTACTGTTACTAGTTTTTATTTTTGGATATTAGTGTTTATCTTGTACTTAAAGATTTTATTAAGAAACATCTTTATCAAAGCCATGAAAAATGTGTTCAAATTGCTTGTATTCCAAGTTAGGTATATGTATGTAATAGATATTGTACAATTGCACAGTCAGTACAATCAACTGTAATATAATGATAAGAATATAATTTTATCTCTCAGTTGTTGCTTATTACATATAGAACAAATTATATATTAGTTTTAAAGTTGTATATTATTGGCTAGTTATATATACATTATTGTAATCTTATTTTTGCCTGTAGAACAATAAAATTTTGTGAATTGATAAATTGAGTTTGTATTATAAAAATTAATGTTATGTAATATTATATATGAATAAACTCAAACTTGCAGTTAAGAATATTTATTAAAAAAATTGTAGCATTTAAACTTTCATTTTGCCGTGTTTATATGTAAATTGGATATATGAACTTATATATCGTATTTCCATCATTATGTATGGACTAGCTGCCTTTGTTTGTATGGAAAATGGATATATGAATGTATATATTAATTTTTCCATTATTATATTTGGACTAGCTGCCTTAGTATGTATCAAAATTGGATATATAAATGTATATATATTGATTTTCCCATCATTATAATTGGACTAACTGCCTTAGTTTGTATGGGAAAAGGATAATTAAATGTATATTTTGATATTCCTTCAAAACCGGGGCCATAATTATATATCTAATAGCGTATAAAGCAATATATAAATGTATATATTGATATTTCTCCTATATATAAGCGTATAAATAATTATATATAATAGCATATAAAGGAATCTAGTAAGATTCCTAGATTCATAGAGGCGATTGCATGCAGCGCCTCTATGCAAAATCGTTCCCAGTTTGTTGGGAACTACGTAGTGACTACCGGGTTCATATGGTTCTGTGTCAGATGGCGCCACAGACCAAACGTCAAACGTTTGACAGCTCTTCGACAAGTAAATATGAATTCAAAACAATAGTGGATTTGGATATATAAATCTACATATTATATTTATACCTCATTAGATGTGAACTAGCTGTTTTGGTTTGAGTGGAAATTGGATATTTAATTTATACATAATTAGATGTATTCTAGCTGACTTAGTTTCTACGAAAATTGTATATTTAAATGTGTATTCTTACTGCAGGTGCTTATAACTTATAAAAAAAACAAGGAACATGAGCAATTTAACTTAAATATGATATATTTATGGATAATGTAATGGCATACCATTTCGTTCTATTTAAATTCTAAGCAGAAAAACAAGGATGATGGATAGAACATCACAGGTTCGAGTAAGCTTTGTTGCATGTGAAATTTATATTATTCAAATCAAAACTTAAATATTCAACTACGATTTCAATTATATTTTTCAATAAATTAACCAATTTAATCTAGTATATTAAACTTCAGTTTTAAAAACATAACATCTCGAGTTATTCTTTGAATATATAAATTACATATACAATTATACATTTAAATATTCAGTAAGTACAAATTGTTTATTATTATATGTATTTCTCATATTAACTACTATTTTAATCTAATTTATTTAAACCAAACATTGAATTAAATCATTACAATGTTATAATTATCAAAGTTTCATTATAAAAGTAAAAATTAATATCATCCGTAAATAGTAATAATTTATAGATAGGCTATATAATGTTATTTCAAATGCATTTTTGATATAAATGTACATTTGTCTTGCAGTTGCAATAACTTATAGAAAAAACAAGGTACATAAATAATTTATCTCAAATATGATATACTTATTGATGAATTATGTGATAATTCCATTTAATTATCATCCCAGAAATATCCAGTGAAGAGAAAAACAAGGATGAAGAATAGAAAAACACAGCTTTGAGTAAGTTTGACAACATTTTTTGTACTATTATTTAACGTTGAATACTCAAATGAGAACTTAAATATGCAACTACAATTACAATTATATTTTCCAATTAATTAACCAATTGCTTTAGTTTTCTACAGTTTCAAAACAATGAGAAATTCTACAATTTTAATCATATAAAATCATCAATATCATTTGGATAAATCAAATTTAAAAACAATAAGAAAATCTCATAAATTATTTAACAATCCCAAGTTTGTACAAAAGTACTTTTCACTCACAATAATCTAAGAAAATATCAAATATATAAATAGTTATAGCAGTTTCCTTATCTATGAGTTATAGTTACACAGGAAAATATGAATATGACAAATACAAAAATATGAATAGTTATAGTTACACAAGACACAAAAACAAAGTATAAATATATAGTCAGTTCAAGTGAATATAGATGAATGTAGATGATCGATTGAATTGTATGCTATAAATATTTCTAGATACAAGAATTACAAAACTTACAATCCTTTTCGTAATGCAAAATTCATTATTTAATCATCAAGTACTTTGAAGAACTGAATATCATATATTATGTTTTTAGGCATACAAAAGCAATTCAGTTTTAATTAATTGTTAATGAATTGATAATTGATGTTGATGTGCCTCTGTTTAATAGTTATCAACATTGTGTATATGGTGTATATTTAATATAAAGATACAGCTAATTATTTAATTAATGTTACTAGTGATAGTACATTTTATTGTGAATCTTGCAACGGACCACTTCCATCATAGACTTTTGGAATACCTTTTACTGGACTCTCACAGTTTCTTGAAGTAATATGTGAGCTTGCAGAGACAACAGACTACAAAAAAAGATGAATAATATTAAATATGTGAGCATGAATATTATAATCATGTACAAAGGGAGTTGGAGCAAATAAAGAAGCCTTTGTTCTTTAAGAATAAGTGAGACGACAGTGTAAATTTTAAGAACTTGTTTTAGTTATGTATTTTTTATATTGACTTTTTAGTCCAGTGAAGTATTTCTTGTAAAGTGTTTTGTATAGAATTTTTTATGAACTGTTTGAAACAAATTTTTATACTACCTCTGATGTTCAATTATATTAATATGTAGATATTGTTAAGGTAAAAAGTGCCAGTATGTTCTGGCAGGATGTAGGTACAATTCTTGTTGTAACTTAATTATTTAAACTTTTTGAATGTGTCTTATTAAACAAATAAGCTTAATTTTTGAGATAATTAAAAAAACTAATGTACCTATAAAATTTTGGTCACAAATTTTCACTTATTCTTGTTAGATTTACTTACTTTTCTCTTCTATATTTAAAGTGAAGATCCATATAATATTTTTACAAAAGCAAGGAAAAATGCATTTTAGAAAAATGTATATGAATGTAATAATGATCTGTATTAAATAGATATTTTAAATTGCACAATTAATGCAATAGATTGTGATATATTAATAAAAATGAAATTTTATTTTTCAGATGTACTTTATTACATATTGGACAAATTATATATTAGTTTTAAAGTTATACATTGTTATCAAATTATATTTGTAATATTTTGAAACTATATAAAAAAATGTATGAATAATTTAATTTGATTCTTTTATTGTAAAATATACGTGATTTAATAAATTTTTCAGGTTCCTCTTGATAAACAATATTAATATTAACCATATATAAATATTATTTTTAATCAAATACAAACATTTAATAACATCCACTCATAGTGATATCCATTTTATTGATTAAACAAATAATTTATTTTGCCTATTTATTATTAATCAATTCAACATTCAAAAATTAAAATTTTAAATAATGACCCCTAACATTTTAGTAGGCGGCCCTGCGCAATACTGACGCAATTCCCTCTTCGGATTTGCGTCTGCTACCCTGGTAGTATGAATGCATTTCAGTTCGATAAATGTTCGGCAAAATTAATTTTTCATACAAAATCTCGTCATTCTGCCAGGGGAACAGTCACAATTCTGAATTTGACAGCACGTTCCTATCGCACAGGACCGTCTGCTGAAATGTTAGGGGTAATTATTTTGAATATTTATTTAAATTAAAAATGTCAATTTATTGTTTTGGGATATTTTAATAAGTTTTGGTGATGGGAATGGTATTTTAACATTAATATTATTGTATAAACATTTAAAAGAATAGTAAATAGGCATCGTATAAAAGACAATTACTATAAGAGACAATTTAGTTATTCGTGCAAATATAGAACAATTTTTGACCTTCCGCCAATATTCTCTCAAAAATTTAATATTTACAATATCCTGTTGTTATTAGTTAGTCGCAGCGTATTTTAAAAATGAAAATACATTTATAAGTATTATCTGAGCAAGTAAAATTATTATAATGATTTTTAAATTAATTTAGATATTTATTTAAAAAATGTAAAAGTTAAAATACGGTCCTGGTTTCTTGACAAATTTCATCCTGCTTTTTGATTGGTTGGCCCCGCTTTCTGCTACATGCATAGATAAAAGAAGAGTATAGAAGAGCATTCTGCGCGCCGGATACAATTTGACAGCTACAAAATCATTTATCGTGTGACCGTTGATGAAAATGCATCTCAATCAAGATTAAATTATTAAAGTTTTTGTTGTAGTTGTGGTCTTTAATTTTTTTTTTTTTTTTTTTTTTCTGTTAATTTCAATCAGATACAATACAATCTATCGTTAAAAGTTATGGTATTGAAAATCAAAATCAAAAAGAAAAAAAAATAGAATAAAGGAAATTAAAGAAAAGAAATAGAATAAATGAATGAATAAATAATAATTAAAATAATAGTATTAATAATAAAAACGATAATCAATAATAAATAATAATTAAAAATAACTTGTTTGAAAATTTTCCTGTGCGAAACAGGGAAATTATGTTGTTGACGGTAGATCACTGGGCCATTTTCTTTTCAGGCGTTTTAATTTTTCGGCTGTTTGTACTATTTGCATTTCCGGATTGACGTGTGCATCCAATTTGTTTTGAAAGATAAAACTTCTGTTCTTAATAACTTCCGCCACTGTTGGAATTTTTAGGTCTTTATGGATCATGTGGAATTGAATCACATTTGTAGTGAAATTTTATATAAATTATTCAACTTGCAAGGATTATACTTAAACTTAGGATAATAGATAAACAAGCATGATGTTCAGGGTAAAAAACTTGGAATCTCATATAATGGAAAAAATAATTTGTAATAATAATATAATAAATTGTATTAGTACTAGGAATATTATTGCTGGCACAGACAACTTTAATTTGCCTTAAAGTATATTTATCAAAATATAATTAAAATATTTTAATGTAATTAACATATGTATTTAGAGGTCCAGTTAAAGGTACTCCTAAAGTCTGCGTTGGAAGAGGTCCACTGGGCATTTCACAGTTTCACAGTTACAGATTCACACCCATTGATGAAATAGATTTGAAACAATCTGTCAACATCTTGAATAAGTAATAAGGAAGATGCAAGAATGAATATTATAATGATGTAAAAAGCAAGTTACCTTTATATCTTTGAGAAGAAGTGAAAGTACAGTGTAAATGTTTAAAGACTAGCTTTAGTTACATATGATATTCGTTATATTGTCTTTTTATCAAATCAAGTCAAGTATTTCATGTAAATGATCTTTATAGAATGATGTGCAATGCAATGCAATATATGTCCATTTATTTATCTAGATTTAAAATGTAATTGATAGTAATCAAGTTAATATTTATTAATTTAGTTAGTAATAATTATGTTCTGGCAATTAAAATTGTATTTGGGTCTTCAATAATTGTATAAATTATTATTATTATATTATAAAAGCTTATGGTATATAATTTATATTTTCAGCTCGTTTCAAGTATAAAATTGGAATCAAATATTTATGAATGAGCTAAAATAATTTTATAAACAATTTTAACTGAAATAAATTATATTTTCAAGCAAATTTATTAACTTTAAACAAATATACTTCATAATATTTGCAGATTAAATTTTCTGTTTGAATTTCGCGCTTTAAATTGTACAAGATTGGGGCAGCGGTCAATTTGCTAACTTCAATTGCTTCAAATGTCAAGAGATTTTTGTGAATGATCTTAATCTCGCGTTAATTAAGAGTTTTTAATTAAATCCTTGATTAGTTTTAATTAAATTATGCATAAAATCGTTTAATTAAATCTGTAGATCAATCTGACATAAAAAATATATCGTGCAACATTTGTAAAAAGTTAAAAAAATGGATATGTGTGGAAATGCATAGGTGTACCTTGAATAGTAATAGTTATCTCTTTCAGGACCCCCATTTCGAATTAATATTATAATTAAACCTTTTACTTTCAGTGCTGATGTATCCTTTATCTATGTATATGCAATTAGCAATTGTATAATTTATATATGAATGTGTATACTTTTGTAGGTTATGGTAGCACATTTCCACATATCTATTTATTCAATTTTAAGTTCACAAAAGTCTCTAATGTAAGTCGTGTCTTGCGTGTTTCGTAGAGAATTTACTCGGACAATTGTAAAATGTCAAATAGACTTGTAAAAGACAAAGTTATGTAGTGGTTTTAAAGTAGTGATTTTGTGTCGAGTACTTGAGATTTCTGGCAGATGCTCCAGAGGTGATTCATGTATTAGTTTTGTGTTCTGCTAGCTGCTGTAGAGGATTTATAACAATGTAAGTGCAGAGCATGTTTTATACAAAGCGAGGCAAAGAATATATTTCTGATATTATATACAGGCATTTAACGTACTATTTATTTATTTAATATTTAGCTTAATTTTGAATTCAAACAAGAATCAAATAATTATGAAAATCTTTGATGTTCGACACAATATTGTTTGTCATCTTCAGTGAAACTATAATTTGAATACTAATGAATAAAAAAATATTACTTATAATTTATTTCCTAAAAAGGGTTTAGTACTACTGACCGATTTTGTATTACATGCTACTTTTATGCTTGTCATAATAATATTTCTCAATAATAATATTTCATGCTAGTTTTTCATATTGAATGAAATTAATTGAAAGGTGCTTTGAGAACTTGTTTCTTTGTTATACGATATCATTTATAAAGCAGCTTGTATATATTTCAGTGGAATATTTTTTGGCTTGTGCATTATTAATATAGTTATATACATATATCTGCAGAAAATATTGTTTATATTATAATATTTGAGTCAATATCATTTTCTTAATAAGGTATACTTTATTAATCTTTAATGCATAAAATACAATTTATCTTTTGTTTATTCAACTACAACTATTTTGCAAATAAAAGATTTTAAATTTATTTGGCAGACATATGTATGAAAAACTAGGTTCTTATTTAATTTGTTATGGGGAAAACATGTTGATTCAGATTTTTTATTTATTTATTCAAGTGCATTTTATACTTGTTTTAAATATATATAAAAGAAAAAAGTTTCTATTTCTCTTATGTATCAAAGACGCTGAAAGTAATTTATATTATTACAATTCCATAATAATATTCCACCAGAGATTCTCTTGCTCTATAAATAACACTATGAATTGATTTTGTATGGAATCCAGAATTTTTATATGTATATTAAATTTTTGTTACCAAATTATTAGTTAATTAATACAGCTTTTTATAAGCATCGATTACTTATTTGTTGGAGGGGTCCTAGCACCCTTCCTTAGGTAACTCCTAAATTGATGGTATTTTGTTACAAATTACAAATTTACTTTGTTACAAAAATCTCTTTTTTATCACACAATTTGTTCATTATTATACAAAAAAATATTTGTATTTGTATTTGACATTTCCAGTATCAAGAATCATGTGTTTTTCCTGTAGCGACATTGTCTGCATGAACATTCTTATTTATGGATAACACGATTGTTGGTTTTGATCGAATTATTTCAAATACTCAAATACGACATAACAAATTGTTAATTAAATGCAGCTTTTAAAAGTCTTTTACTGTAGTTTAATTTTAAATTTATTCAATTATATTGCTGCATAGCTAA